GACTAAATAACGAATAAACTAATAGAATTATGAATGTAAAAAAAAAGATAAAAGGATAAAAAAGATAGCATGATGTGTCATTAAAACCAAAGAAAAAAAGTTACTAAAAAGCAACATACGAATTTAAGTTTAACTCTAATCCCGACAAAATTTATACTGATTTGTAGATGACACTGTGAAACACGCCTTCTAACGATAATATGATGCGTAGACATATTAGCCTCAAAATAGTTGTATTTAAAATATAAAATCATGAGTCTATCAGTACATGTCCTTAAGTAAAGAAAATTTACAACTTCAATAGTTGCTAAATTAATATTAAATCAATATGAAAGGTATATTTGATACATAACTCCTATCGGAATGAACGGTTCTATGGTAACTCGATACATTGGCTGTTGTTAGTGCACTTGCATTTTGATTGATTCGCCCGAAACCCCGCTTTCCCCATCGCAATATCATTTGTCTAAAAATCGAGCCTTAGTTTTAGATAAAGAAAATACGTATCAGTTGAAATATGTTAAGACCCATTCAATTCGTAAAAAAATTTTAAAATTAATAAACATCAGAAGGATTGTCAATAAATGTATAATTTGATAAAGTATTAGATTTTGATGTCAAAATTCTTAAAAAAGAAAGTAAGTAAAGTTAGTCTTGCAAAAAAATTAGTATCTATGGTATATTATTTATTTGAAGTAACTACGGATAAAGAAACTAAATCGCATTATTATAATTGTAAAATAACTAGATATTTGTGCAACAATTTATGAACTGAAAAAAAATCCAAAACTTAGGTCTGAGATATTAAAATAATTTACTTAATAAAGTATCAAATACAACAAACAGTGGTCATATCACAACTTCATACGAGTATAATTTGTATGTGTATAATGTGGGTACATCACTAACCTTATTAAACCACTATCATTCGTTCTGAGATTCGCCATTATACGGTCAACTGGTATAGTAACAATATTCAATGAATGTAATCAGTGGCTCATGAGCAGTTTGTATCGACTGACGCAACTACCGAGTGTCCAATTTGAATCTCGCCTCCTCTTAAGTGGTTCGACTTTTCTTAGATCAGAATATATGGAAGTTTATTCCACTCATTTAAATCTCTCTATCTACACATATTATTAAATAAATACATCTTAATATTACTGATATGATACTCTAAATAACGTTCTACGTATTTAAAAATACGTAAAATGGGGGGGAAGGGGCTTGTTAGTAATGGCGACTAAGAATCCTATTGCTAGCAATATACTCAACCAGGTCGATCTCCACGCGGTTTCCCCTGGAAACTATCATGCTTAATTCCTGGTGAATTCATCATGATGGGCTAACTGGCCTGTTTTCATTCTCATCGATCACCCTTCACTGGTACTCCGCCAGCGTATCCCGTTAGGACAGGCGGGGTTACCATTCCATTTTTACCCATCAAAAAATAAACGTAAAATGTTTTCTTCTCACCAAAAAAACATCACCAAAGCCTAATCTATGTATATATATATATATATATATATATATATATATATATATATATATATATATATATATATATATATGTGAAAAAGAGAAACCGATGGAGATTGGAGATTATTGTATTCTCGTAACTTCAACGAAATATCTTCGTGTAAATTATTGATTCAATATAACAGTGGCAATAACTTTGTTTTAGCGTATTTTCCATATGACATATGACTACATAAGATTACTGTTAGGATTTCTTATAAGGAATGTGTTAAAGAGTTAACACTTAGCCATAAGTTAATTTCGGAATCGTCTGAGTTGCAAATAAACTTACATTGGTTCATCTATTTAAACTTTTTTATAGCCAAATATAAACTATGTATATTTAGTTGTATGTCTTTCTAAATTAAACAAAATATATTGATAATGTATACACATTTAATATTTTGTATTTACTTCGGTTTATTTTTAGTACCTACTTTATACAGGTGTTAATGAGAACAGACTGTAAATAAATTGTTCGTAAAAAATCATTCATAAGTAAGTATTTGTGTAGTATGCGCCATTATAAAAAAATGTGAACAATTTCAATTTTGTCTTTTGACTAAATTCTTATATTTAATGAGTTAAAATATTTTATAAGGAATAATGATTAGCAAAACGGTATATGTATATACAAATAAAAATCTTAATTTTTTTACATTATTCAATGTATTGCGGTCTTTAAAGAATTGGACAAATATTAGATGCAACGTAATTTTCAAATCATGCAAGTATATAAAAAAAAAAGTTTTTTTCTAACTGCTCTTTAAGTGCAACAGTTGGAGACGTTGGGCTTACATAGTATTTGTAATATAGATTAATTTGCTGTATATAGATGTCTCTATACAAATAAATTTCAGAAACTCGACTAGAAACGCTTAGTTATGTATACTCTATTTGTTAGTGACGTCAGAAAAAAATTATGATATAAATATATAAGATACAAATTCGTATACGCACTACGAATATTCTTGGACGTTTTTTTTTCGAGCGATAAAATTCGGAGTAAGGATTATCTCTAATTATAGTACTGTCTAATGTAGTTATATCTACTATTTTGCTTTATTTTTTAATGGACGAAAAAGGACTGGCAACCACGCTTGCGCTATCGGTATACATTGGTAGGGCACACTGGTCGGCCCGTAGTGATGAATTCGACAAGTATTAACCATGCCGATTTCCAGGGGGAACCGCGTTGAGGTTCTGACCTGATTGGGTATTTTACTAGTAACCATTGCTAACAATCCTTTTCTCATTAGATCTACTATTATTAGGTTACAAGTTTACATATTTCATTTATGTGTATCTACGTATATATAAAATCTATTCTCATGAATTAAACTAGCTTTTTGCATATTTATGTTTTTTTAAATCAATGTGGATTGTTAATCTACTTTGTACATGTAATAAAATATTAAATATAATAAAACTTCTTGCCTATATTTGTAAGGTTGAAAACAAGTTACAGTTACGTTACAAAAATGTGTGAAAATGAACGGTACGGGTTTGTGCAGCTATTTATATATTTGTTGCACGTTTGTTCACTGCATATCACGTGGTGCATACAAAATTATTGCATGCAAGTGTACCGACAACTAATAGAATAAAGGACCACTCGCACTTATACGAAGTGAATATTGGTATTAAAAATAACAGAGTTTTTTCTTTTATAAATTAAACAGACAGACGCAACGAAAGATAAATTATTTTTTATAAAGATATTAATAGGCCAATTGTTTATCCTTTGCATTATATTATTGTAATTTTCATGGTAATATTTATTTCTTGAAAATAATATATTATGTTACGTGTTCTATAGATGAAAGAATTTTTAAAATCAATTGAGCTGTTTTTTAGTATATCCGTTACAAATAAATATACATAAAAAATATATCTTTCCTTTTTGTAATATTAGTATAGACAAGATTTACTCAGTAATTTGTTAATATTATCATAATTATGTTTTTATTTTAAATCACTGGACAAACTTGAATTACACGAATAAAAAATGTGGTACATAACAAAACATTCTCAAACTAATCCATTACTTGTATGTACATAGGTGCATTTTGTTTTTACTTATAAAATAAATTTATACGTTTCTTTTACATTTACATCATCCCTACCTCTCACTCATTTATTATGTTTGCATTTTGTAAAATATATCATTGAACTTTATATATGATAAAGTATCCTATGTGTTAATTTAGAATATAATCTACCCTTGTACTAAATTTCGTTCGAATCCGTTCAGCTGTTTAAGTGTGATTAAGAAACATTCCAACGCACAAATATCTTTTCATACTTTCACATTTATAATTTTGGTAGGATAATGGGATATAAATTCTAAAGTTAGTAAGCATTGTTATTATAATTTGATGGTCATATTCGTACCGTATCGACTGTCTCCTATCTGTCGTTACTAAGTGTTAAGACTCCCTAATACATTAAAGTGCTGAACTTGGTGCCGCGGGATTTTGTTTTACCGACTCCCATGAATTACGTGGATCAATTCGCAATAGAATAGGAATTATATGTTCCGTTACTTGGGAACCATTGTATAGTTTATTTACATCCAAATTGTCTTTAGCTAGTAGAACTAACACTTAGATTAGTAGTTGAAACCTTGATTGAATATTAACAAGCAGGATCAGTGTAGACCATTTGATAGACAGAATGATGATTACACAAATAATGTATCAAGCAGTCGGGTGCCTAAATGATAGTATATGAATACATTACATCATTTCTATTATTATATATATTTAATCATAAATTAGTTTCAACTTGTTATTTGTTCACAATCTTGAATATTATTTATAAACTGTTCTCATTTTTTTTTAAACGTAAAGGTGATATTATATTATATGTAGCCTTGCTCTTCTGCATTCGTTATGAAGTTTTATTTTGAGTTATTTTTTATTTTTTTGCACTGGATTTAGTTATGTAGTCATGTTGTGGATAGTATTGTTAGCACATGGTGACCTTTGTTTATAATGCAACTGGAAATCAATGCAAATTATGACTGACGCCTATGTATTCGACCAGTAAGCATAAGCAGCACTATGGACATCATTATCATTATATCAATCGTTATCATTATTATTAAATGAAATGATTTATGGTGTTATTTCTCCATATTCTATATTTTTTTTATAATAAATATAATATGGGTAATGTTAAGAATATCATTTAAGATTGTGTCCCATAAAAAAAAACTACTTCAAAAATATTAATTTTAAAATGAAACTACTGAATCTCTTTTGATATTTTTTTTAGGACTAACCTGTAAGTGTATCGTTTCTGATAAAAAAAGAATTTTACAAATCGATTTATAACTGACTTAATTATGAGATAACAAGTATAAATAAATACAAATGAATTGAGAACATTCTTCTTTTTGAAATCGTTTGATAAATTACATGACAAAATTGTGAATGTCACATAATTTATATTGAAACTAATGGTAATATTTGTGACAGAACTTGGTACCGGAGCTACGGCGCAGCAAGACTCCGCCGCGGCGGTCGTCAGAGGAACGCGCGGCGCCGCGTCCGCCCTCCGCGCCGGTGCACAACGATCGCACACAACACACGCCACCTAAAAAAGAAGTCTTCAATAACCTCTTCTCTAAAAGTATATCTGGTAAGTTTTAATAAAATAATAGACATTTACACAATTATTATATAATATATGAAAACGTTACAGCGGCAGAAAATGAAACCTGGAGATGACGTTAATTAGCACCATTAGCATATATATCCGGCGCAAATGACAAATATTTTTTAAATTAATCATCAATGATAAAGTATATATATATATATATATATATATATATATATATATATATATATATATATATATATATATATATATATATATATATATATATATTTATATATTTTTGTTGTGGTTTGCCATGATCTTTGTTTTGGTTGCATTCATATTTAGGCCAATTTTCTTACTTTCCAAATCTAGTTCTTGTAGCATTTTTTCTAGGTTGCTAGCCGATTCGCTAAAAAGTACTATATTATCTGCGAAACATAAGTGTGTTAGTCTTTTGTTCAGTATCCATATACCCTTATGGCTCCAATCGATATTTTTAACGATATTGTTAAGTACTGCTATGAAAAGTTTTGGAGAAAGTGGATCTCCCTGTCTTACGCCTCTACATGATGATAAATGGTAATTTTTTTTTCTACAACGCCATTTCTAGTAATATACCCTGCAGGTCGACCTCTGCGCAGTCTCCGCTGGAAACTATCGTGGTCAATTCCTAGAGATTTTGTCATGATGAGCCAACTCATCGAATTTATTATTCATCTATCATATATAACGCATTGATTTTCCGTTAGCATACACCAATAGCGTAGTCGCTGCGCCATTTTAATATAATTATAATCCATAACCATATAACGCATAAAAAACGATTTTTCATAACCGACGAAATCACACTGGTTTTATATTATTTGTGTGTTCGACATTTTTAATTCTTCAGCTATTTAATTGTAATAAATTTTTAATTTTTTTTTCCATAAGTATTGCGTCTTTATGTTTAATCGTTGTGTAACGGACTACATTCTTAATTAAACTTACTTTAATAATTTAATTTCTTATCAGTAAGTACATGTTTTTTAAAATATCTACCTAATTGGGTTAACTATTTGAACCCAGTGATCCGATTATAATAATTGTTCTTGATGATGTTTTTATATTTGCGATACTAAAATAATATCGTAATAAAAACAGGCAATAAAACATTATAGATCTTTCCATAATTCACATACACATTTTTTGCTAAACTAACGATAACTCTCCTATGACTGGTGATAAACAGTAAATGAAAAAATATATTAAAAAAGAAATAAAACTATTTAAAAAAAAATATGGCATTTGTTCAACCTATATGACAGACAAATATTTATTATAAATATATATCTAATATATAATACATCTAATATATAATATATCTAATATATAACATATTTAATAGCGCAAATACCTATGTTGAATTTTTAGATTTTATTTTGTTTATACAAATAAAATTACACGACTGATACAATTTTAAAACACTTCTTTGACACTCTGTTGAAATATTTGAAAATGGCGCTGGTTCAAGTCTCTGAAACTTAACATTTGTATCCGCAGCTTAACAATTAAGTCAGTACTGATATACATACGAACATTATTCATAGTCACGCGCAGTCCCCTCGTCCTTTTGTCTGTACATCCGCGCTCATCTCGACGTTAATCTGATGCCATAATTGATTTACCCATACCTTTTACACGAAGAGCCGTTAAAGATATATCAAAGGCCACCGCCAATTGATTATAACAGAAATAAAATAATTTTATATGTATTAACTTTTTTATTTTCGCGTTCTATTGATATTCCTAAACATCATTACATCGACTAGTTCGTGTAACGTCTGGAGTGACGTGTGGTCAAAACATCTGAATATAATTATTATATTTAACCTAAATTATCATATTACTTCTCATCTCTTATAAACCATTATTTTTGTATCATCTTTCATGTGAATTTATATATTTTTCACTTTTTGTTCTCTAAATATTTTTCTGAAATTAAAATAATAATAATAAGAAAATGTTATTTTGGTGAATTCAATTATTAATTACTAGTTAGTACTTTGTTAAATATATATAGGTAGTTAGATGCAAGACTTTTGCTTATATAAAAATGAATCGAAACGATTCTAATAAAAAAAAAAGTGTCAAAAGTTGTCACTTTTTGTCATGATTATACAAGCAGATTAGAAAGGTTATCTACAGAGATCCGAAAGAAACTGGCAAGAAACTTGACATTTGCCTACTTATTTTGATTTAATCTGATAGCTTTATATATTCTCTATACATTTATATAATAATTTATTGGTAATTTCCAAATCCCACCCGTGATTAACTGAAGCCAGGCATATTTATTTTCCTGCATTTGCAAATGTTTTTTTAATATATATTTTTTTAATTTATTCAAAGCTAATATTTGATATTGTATTGTAAATTGTAATATTCTAGAACAATCTTTTACTATTTTTTTTATGCAACTTAAAATGGTAAACAAGCTGACTGCCCACCTGATGGAAAGTGGTAACCGTCGCCTATAGACATGAGCAGTATCATGAACATAACAGAGTATACTGTTTTGTCCATGATAAACCTCCATTACTATTTTCTAAAGTAATATCATAAGACAATCTAATACACTTATATCTAATATTAAATATAATTAAACAGTAGAGACAAGACCAATATATTTCATAGTACAAGATCCCACTGATTATATAGGCAAGCCATAAATAATATTTTTTTTACGAGCAAGAAGTATAGTCCAATGCATTGTACACGTATTCACGATACACTCCAGTGATCAACGTTCATTTCGACTAGACCACAGTTAATGAATAGCCCCCTTAAATCCGCTATCTAATTTCACGAGTAGTTTGCCGTTGCGACGCGTATGAAATCTATACCGACGGATCTATAAACTTCCCATACAGCACCGGCCTCTAATACCCACCGTTCATTCCCTTCAGTAATAATTTTCCATTCATTCTCCTCTCTTTATGAATCATAATCTCTAAATCTCCAATCGTCCGTCCTTGTTTGTTCAGTGCAAATCTCCTTTGTGTTGTCTCTTTCTAGTTCTTTTACCCCTTAAATCTAATCCGGGACGTCCCGTCTGCCGTAAGGCGAGCTCGGAGCTAAAACAGCTAATGCTAGTATATCTCAATGTGCGTTTGTATAGGTTATGATTTTTTTTAATCTATTAGAAGATTTGAAAGTTCTATCAAGTTTTTTTAGATCATCTCACTACTGTAATACGTATAATCCTTACTAATATTATAAATGTGAAGGTGAGTTTGTTTGTTACCTTGGTGCGTTGACGGCATAACCATTCACTATAAAATTTGGCATACACGTACTTACTATATGGGATAGAGAAGGACATAGACTACTTTTTATTTCGCTCATGCGGAGAAAGTCGCGTGTAAAAACTAGTGAATTATAAAAGGAGTTAAATTAGTATATCAAAATAATAGGTTAGTTAAAAATTTTACTTAATGCTTAAATATTAATATATGATAACGCGTTATAATCTCGATGGTCACTTCCTGACAAAATAAAATTATTTAATTTAGTCTCAATAAATTGAATTATGTGTTAATATTTTCTCACTAATAATAGACTCCAATTAATATATTCCCATATATCAGTAAAACTTACCCATAAAAAAGGCTCCGATCAAAGTTGCTTGGCTTTATTATCCTACGTCAAATTGCTACTGATTTGTAAGTATCTGATAAGCACTCGTCAAAATTAATACTAATAATATATATTTTTTATTTATTAAACTTTAATACACTTACAAAATGGAAATGGCGGAATCAACACCATATGACGTTATCTACCAATCAATCGTAGACAGAAATAACAGAAAATGTAATAGACGATGCAGCGTATTGAACAATAATATACATACATATATATGCTACATTATACATACACGCATATATCACCAGAGGGAGACTGTACAAAAGTCGTTTGCTAGGGTACCTCTGTCCCATTCGTGTTTCAATCGTAAAGCAGATAATATCGGACGAAGAATCATTCAAATACAAGGAAACACCAGCATCAGACAAAGCAAAGTCCATGTATCCGTCTATTAATTATTTCATAATGGATAATATTTACCAACGATAGAAAAGAATGAAGTTAGGTCAGTTGGCCCATCGTGACGAATTCGCCAAGAATTGGCATTATGATTTCTAGAGGAGATCGCGTGGAGGTCGACCTGATATTATATTGCTGTCATATTTTGCTGTTATTATATTCCCCCTATTCAGTTTGTTTCAATATCCAGTTTGAACTGGTAAGGTTCACAAGTCGAGTATAAAGCTCGGAGCAAATCAAACGCCCGGTGGTGAGTTAATGCTTAATGCCTCTAATCGCGCGTTATAAATCATTATTAATTTCGAGTCGTCTCGCCGTCGATCCGCGCCGATTAGCGATTGCACAATGCCCGACGGATTACGCTCCACGTCGGAGATATATCTTTTTGTCAATTCGTACCTGTGTACGGTCAGCATGTTCAGACAGTTTGTTTTTTGTACAGGTGTTCCAGAAATATATTTTACTTTTTTCTTTTATGATTGGTGGTGGTAGAATATTTTAGTGATTAAGTAATATAAACAATAATGAATATAAAAGAATTAATTTTAATAATAAATTTAAATTTAACTGGATGATATCTGTAGAGTGGAAATATTTAAGAAAAACTGATATGAGGGATATCAATGTAGTTCACTGTTTCTGAATAACAAACGAGAATGGTATTAGTCGATCACGCATGGAATTTTTAATAAGAATGTAATTTTAGATATAGTACGTTTAAATAAATTATTAATTTTTAATTATTATAGAAAAAAGTTTAAATAAATATATGTGTACATAATACATTTATTTATAAATTAATTAACGAAGCTTTAAAAGACTAACTGTTAAGTTTCTTGCTGGTTCTTCTCAGCAGATAACAACTTTCCGAACGGTGTAGTAGATTTAAAAAAAATTACGATTCAAAAGTGCTTGTAAACAAGTCTAATTAAATAAAGAGGATTTCAACATGA